GCAGTTTGGTAGGGCCCTTAGCCACAAAAAGAAGTGCAGCCCACATTTCTGACCATTGCTGACCACAAAACGGAGTGCAACCACATTTTTGTCCGACCATAGTTTTGGGACCCCTCACACCTGACGATTATCAAGCCAAGCCTGCAGGACACAAAACAAGCTTAGTTAGATGCTGCAGCTCTTTGTAAACATTTGCAGCTTCTGGAAACTTTAGGTTAAAAGGTGGAGCCCTTGACTCTTAAAAAATTTGTTTCTTGGTTCAAAAGCTCAAAATGAACACAAAGCAGCCACTGTAATTTTAAATTATCATGGGTTATCTTGCCAGCTGATTACAGTTATCCCCATTTTAGGGGACTTTCCCCAAGGTGGCCAAAACAAACAAGATAATTTCTAAAGAGAGTTTGTTATAGGTACTGGGAAACTCAGTCCCCAAAAGAGCCAACTCAATTCAGACAAACATTAGCACACGCTACATTCTGCATATAACACAGACTAGAATACTAGCTAGTTTTCCAGAAGTAGCTCCGAACCAGTGCCAGGAGCTACCCCAAACCAGACTTCCAGGGATAACTCTTAGCCAGTGCCAGGACTTTCCCAGATCTAGTAGCAACTTAATGAGTGAAACTTTTATCCTGCCTCTAATTATCTTGGGTGTTTCAGGCCCCAGGTTGGGGTCTCAGCTCACAAAGATTCCTCAGAATACAAGCTAAACCTGTATTTCCAGGAAATCAAACTAGTAAGATGAGGGAAGGGACAGTTGCTTTCTTAAGGTTACTCACCCAGATCCAAGTGACAGCTTGATCCAGAAGCTGTTTCTTCTCCCAAAGGAAGGAAAAAATGCCTTGAGGCCTGGGGCTCTGCAGCACAGAAACAGGAATCCAGTCAGCTGAGTCTCTAGAAAAACTCCTCTAAGCAGCCACTTAGCCTCAGTGAAAAGACCCCACACCCTGCCAGGGGTTCCAGAGCCTTGGACAGGTAGTCAAAGGATCTTGTCCTTTCATGGTTTGTTACCACAAAAAATTGGGGTTCACTTGCCTGATGCACTTAAACAAGCCAATTAATTACAGCATCAGCCTTTGGGAAAAGAGATCAGCTTTATTCTGAGAGATTGACCTGCAGGGAGAACAGGGGCCCTGTGCCCTCAGACCTGTCTCCCCAATTCAGGATTTTGGGTGCAATTTAAGAGATTAGTGAGAACAAGCTGTCATTTATGGCAGGGTTCTAAACATCTGTGATGAGGTGGAGAAGGAATTTTAACATCAGATCTTCCTGAATAAGGGACCTCTTGCTTCTTGTAAGAGTCCTACTTTCAAGTTCTGGTCCTGTCCTGATTCTGGGCTTCCATGGGGAGGAGGATCTTTGGCTCTACAGTCATTTCATATCTAGACTTCTTCTTTTGCCCATGCTCTGGTAACATGACCTTGCCTATTTTCCAAAAGGCAATTCTTAATCACTCTGTTGATAAGACATGGGGTCGGTTTAACTGGTTCTGGAGGGCCCGAGGTTACAAGGAGAATGAGATGACAAAGGATGCTGAATTCCACTTAAAATGCCAAAGAATTGCTGTCTATTGTTTTGTATGGCAAAAGAGTGTGGTATGAGCCCAATGAACTGACTTTAAATTCTAAAGAAGAATAGACAAAATCCCTATTAATTAGTTAGAAGGGAGTAGATTTTTCTGCCAATTGAAAAAAAGTCTAAGATTTCATGAGTGATTTCCTCAATGAAATATAGTAAAAATAACTTTATTAATCCATTAACTGCAGACCTCTGGAAGCCTATTTATTTTTAACTCTTGAATTTTCTTGTGAGTTTAAGAAGAACAACTCAACACAGCTTATGGGGATACCCATTCCCTGCACAGCCTATGATTTCTCTCCAGCAGGTAAATTGGAACAATTATAGAGCTCACCTCATTCGTTTCCCTTTGTCAGGGATTACTGTCCTGTCCTACATTACCCTTTGTCTGAAAAGTATTGTTCCATATATTTTCTTCTTTTTGTTGTTGTTTAAGATGAGAGGTAAAAGTAGTCTCTGTAACTATATCATGATCAGTAGTGGAAGTACTGAAAATTGTTTTTGAGGTATCCCCCAAAATCTATTTCTCCAACCATAAAATTTAGACCACTTATAGTGATTGCTGATATATTTAGGTTTACTTCTATCATATTACATGTTTTATACTTATATTTTCTGATTTATTAAGCTTTCCCCTCTTTTATGTGCTTTAAATCTCTTCTTTTTACCTAGTTATTTAACAATCCATAGCTTTCAACAGACATTTCAAAAAGCTCAAAGGAAAAATCAACATCTTTACTCATCTATGGAAAAATCTAAAGATACTTTAATTATGATCACAGTATTTTAGTTCTACCATGTTTTAGTTCCTAAGAATTAGACATTATTATTATTGTTTGTGCAATTATTTTTTAGATGTAACCACATATGTAGCAATAGCATTCCTCTTTAAGACTTCCTTAAATTAGGGCCTTCAGATGATTGTTCTTTCATATAAAGTAAAGCACTAATACCTACTATCACAGGGATCTTTTAATGATAAATTCTCTCAGTCTTTCTCTAGTTTATTTAATTAATGATTTATTTCAAAATCATTAAGAATAAACAAAAATCAACTCACAGATTCCAGCCATATAGGCTCTGACTTTCCTCCTTTAGGACCTCACTGATTCCATGGGAGACCTCTTCTGGCCAGGCTGCTGTCCTCACTCCCAAGGACAACTCCGTTTCTCACCTCCAGCCCAGACTGAAGAACCTCTTCTCTTCTCTTTCTTTGCAACCAATAGTTGCAATGTGAGTGCTGAAGAGACTTAGGTGTGACCAAGATGGAGAGTATTATGACTTCTCAGACAGAAGCAGTGAGTGCTTACCAAGAAGAGTATTTAAATATATTATGTCCTTCACTTCAGAAGGCAAGCTTCTCAGAGCTATTTTCTATGTCATCATTAACTTCTCTTATTCACCCTTCCTCCTGTTCCAGTGTGGTTTCTGGTGATTAATTCTACCAAATCAACTCTCCCAGAGGTCACCAATGGTTTATTACTTTTAGAGTCGTCATAATTTTCTATGTTCATTTTAATTTAGTATTTTTCTGGGCAAGGACTTTCTTGCTGTTTCTGAGATACTTTCTATTTCATCCTGAAGTTAGTATCAAAACAGGGAAGTAAAACTGGAAAGATAATGGGCCTGTATCATTATTTTCCATCATTTTCAATACATCATTTTTTCTTTCTCCACTCAACTTTCTTAGAAAGCTGTCCTTGCATTTGGATGCACTGGGGCAAAAAGAAAACAAATGTCAGTCTGAATATGGCAGAAGAAATAAAGTGAATCCCCAGGTAAGAAAAATGACAGCAGGAGTTCTCTTCTCTTATCACCTGCTCCACTAGTCCAGTGTGGTTTCTGCTCATTAATTCCACCAAACAAACTCACACTAAGGTCAGTTCCATCTGTTTCCTCATGTAGTAGGTGGTTTCAATCAACAGAGCAGCCTACTGACCTTCAACATAGTACTAATCAAAATATTGATAAACGACCATCATAAGTAACTAAATATGCCATGATTTAAAGTAAATAAAACATTAAACATATTAATATGATTTGCCAATATATCGATTCCATGAAATCTATCCAGAGGCAAATATATTTCAAAAGAGGGAAAATGATGCAGAGAAAAAATAATCCACGCTGTATTATAGGTCAGACCTATTTTTCTCCCCCACTTCAGAAGGCAAACTTCTCAAAGCTATTTTCTATATATTGTCATTAACATTTCTTATTCACCCTTCCCCCTATTCCAGTGTGGTTCTGGTGACTAGTTCCACGAAATCAACTGTCCCTGAAGTCACCAATGCCATCTATTTCCCAGTGTGCTGGGCAGTTTCCATCCACATTTTTCATTAATACATTGAGTATTCTAAGCGGTTTCAGTCTTTAAACATGGTCTTCTCTCCATTCTCTCTCGTTCTGAAAATGCATGGCTATTCCACCTGTTTTCTTTGTGGTTCTTCCCTCACTTTTAAGGTTGAAGGTCCTAGCAACCAATTTAAGTCCTTTCTCATTCCCATACCCTCTCTTCCCAGGTGACCACTTTCCTTCGTATACTCTGCAGTTTGTGGAATTGCTTGTAAATTGTAAACTCAACTATCCTGCGAACATTTGCACTTAGATGTCTACTGGGAAAATACAGAGAATATCTACCACTTTTGTTCTTACAACCTGACATGACTCGATCCAGCTTGTGCTGAGAGAATTCCATTTTTCTCCCTTCCCATTTTAGCATTAAACCTAACTGATAATAATTTCTAACATTAATTAGTGTTAATTTTAAAATAACTAGTATTCAATTACCAATCAATTGGTTAGTGTTTTTAGGTTACTTTTCCCGCAAAAAACAAACATACAAGAAAGCAGGAACTGTATTTGTTGTGTTCACCTCATATCCTGAGGTCAACATACAACCAGGCTTAGAGGAAGTCTATTTTTACTTCTAACTTGAATATAACAATGATGGTAAATGAATAGTGCCATCCATTCTTTAATCAGCTTGCACACTCAGGTGTGGTGTTTCTTTTTTAAAGAATAAACAAATAGAAGATATTTTCTACAGTAAAGATTTAATGAACACAGAAAATAATAAATTGGCTAAATATAAAGAATGCATTTTGTTATATTAAACTACAATGTAAAGGTGCACATAATGTTATAGCAACAAAAATAATTTAAATCTCATAAATAATTAAATAAATAAATATTTAAATAAATAAATAGAGCAGCCGGGTCATCTGTATCAGACTAGTGTCCGCAGGGTTAAACACAATATTCATTAATACGCTTGAAAACATTTGACAAATTTGATTGAGTTCAGATCACGATTACAGCAGAAATCCTTGAGTCCTTGACATGGCAGAGCAAGTGGAAGTGTGATATTATCAGTCGATGAAAAGCATTTCCATGTTGAACCAGGTGTCATTTCTTCCTCCTTAACTCTGCGGCAAGTTTGTGGATGAAGAGAAGGATCTCATGATTTCTGCTCTGACGACCTCCCAGGCACAAGGGCTGTATTTCTTCTCTTGCAGATAGAGAGCGATTCTTTGGAAGTATCTCCTCACAGCCAGCAGGGAGTCCTCGTTCATCAGGGGCGTCTCTTCCACCCCCACCTCCTGGCTCAGACAGGCTTCCAGCTCAGTCAGCTGCTGATAGAGTCCAGTGTAGAGCTTGTCTAGGAGGCTCTCGTCCCAGGCGGCAGACGAGCCGTCTGTGCTGAAGAGGTGGAAGATCTGTTGGATCGTCTCATGGACCGCAGAGATGGCTTGAGCCTTCCGGAACTGGTTGCCGTCAAACACCTCCTGGGGGAATCCAAAGTCATTTCTGTCCTTCAGGCAGGAGAAGGGGGAGATTCTCCTCATTTGTCCCAGGAGCATCAAGACCCTTGTGTTGCCCAGGCTATGGGTGTGAGGCAGGTCACATCCCAGAGAGCAGCTGGAGTGGCAGCTGAGCACCACCAGGGCCATCAGTAAGGAAAATGGTAGAGCCATTGGGGATCTTGCAGATGCTGCTGGCCTGGCTCAGGTGAGTGACCCTGTCTCTGGGTTCTCTGAAAACCTTTCTTTGTGCATGTGTCTTAAATAGGGCACACATGAGTTTCCATTTTCTGAACGTTTCCCTTACTTTCTACTTCTGTTTTTGCTTTCCTTTATGCACTTTCTACAATGATTTAGAGCAATGCTTCTCAACCATTTGTATTTTTCTTTATTGCCTCCTGCCCCCAGAGTCTTCTTATGTGTTTTCCTGATTGAACCACTCAAGAAAACTTAGTAACACAGATATACTGTACATACAGATATGCATTATATCTATATATCTCTACTTTATACATAGAAAAAGAAGTGCAAACTTTACTTTTCTTATTCAATGCAAGATTAAGAATAACCTAGAATTTTAAGCTAAAATTTAAATTTGAATGCTAATGACATTTAATTTAACTTCATAGGTAAGTTTGCAGGATTTTTAATGTAATATATTTACTTATATAAATAGTAGTGTACCAAATTATATATTCAAATTCAAATTTTACATAAATACATAATCACAATACCAGTAATGATATACTTAAAATCTTTCAGAGCTGCTAAAAACAATATTTTCTTAACATGTGTTTTTATGTACATGACTGTCACTTTTGCTTCATGTCAGAAAATAATTTTTAACTTCACCAGCTCTCTGATAATATTGCTTCTTTTCTGCCATCAATATAAGTACTAATGTTTATTTAACTTTATGGATTAAATAATAAAATATAGACGATTTGCATTTAATTCTCAACCCCACCTCACCCTCAGAAGCACTAAGGCTCAAACATAAGCAACATCCACAGAAAGCTAATGGCAGCTCATCAGTAAGCGAAGGCAGCCTCTCACAGCATGACTTTGAGATGGAGCAAATGATGGGGGAGAGTCTGCCAGTGAACCATCCATTCACCATAGATATTGCAGCACTGATCTTGCATACATTTTGCGTCTATTCCATGAACTCAATGTCAATGCTTCTTATATGATACACAAGAAAACCCAACAAGAAAAATGAAGGAATAAGACTTTGTTGGATAGGGTTGAGCTTTGGAGTGCCACGAAGCATTGTAATATCTAACATTTGTTCTACCCTTTAGAATTAATTTTCCACCTTTTATAGCAATATCATCCCCAATGAGAATGGGCAATTTAGGAAACATCATCAATTTGAATCTTTCTTTGTATTTTCACATTAAAATTCAAATTTCCTAAGGAAGTTTCAGAGGTTCCAATTCAAGTCTGTTTTTTTCAAACAAAAGGAAAACATTGGGAGGCCGACCTGTGGCAGAGTGTTTAACGTTCCACACCCTCTGTTTCAGTGGCCCGGGGTTCACGGGCTCAGAACTGAGTGCAGACCTCATCCACTCATCATTGGAGGCGTCTCACATACAAAGTAGAGGAAGACTGACACAGATCTTAGCTCAGGGCTAATCTTCCTCAAGCAAAAAAAGAAGAGGATTGGCAATGGATATTAGCTCAGGGAGAATCTTCCTCACACACACACAAAAACAACAGAAAAGGAAACATCTTTGTCTTTAATTCAGAAGCACACAAATATTGATTATATATCATGTGAAAAATTAACTTTCAGCTCTGATCCTGAGCTCTGCTTTAAAACTCTTTTTGTTTTGCATAGGAAGTGAGGTTGCCCCAGCCCTCTAGATTCCTACTCTTTAAATGGTGGGTACTATAGTTTGTGTCCCCCCCCCAAATTCATATCTTGAAATCCTAATGGCTGATGTGATGGTGTTAGGAAATGGGGCCTTTGGGAGGTGCTTAAGTCATGAGGGCCTAGCCCTCATGAATGGAATTACTGCACTTATAAAAAGGATCCAGAGAGATCCCTAGACCCTTCCAGGTTGTGAGGACACAACGAGAAGTCTGCAACCCAGAAGTGGGCCCTCACCTGACCATGCTGGAGCCATGATCTTGGACTTCCAGTCTCCAGAACTGTGAGTCATAAATTTCTGTGTTTTTAAGCACCCAGTCTGTGGTATTTTGTTATAGCAGCCCGAAGTGGACTAAGACAGTAGGTATGAGACCATCTTAGGCAATTCAGCTCATTAGTAACTGGACTCTGTCTTGTTCATTGTGTTTTCCTCAGCATCAGGTCCAGTGTAATCACTCGATAAATACTCTTTACTAAAGCGGTCTCTTAGATTTTCTCTTCCTACTCGAAAGTGTTCAGGAATGACCAAGCTGTTTTGCTCATCACGGCCACATTCCTAGGATTATAGTAGACCAGGCTAACATTTCCACTCTTCTCTTATCAAGTGTCAATAAGAGTACTACTACTCCTGCTGAGTTTATTACTAAAACTTCTAGGAGTCTAGTGTTCTCAAGGCACATATGAGTCTGGGGAGTCAAACTGCCAGGGCAACACAATTTTCAGCCTTTGCCCAGCACTGTATTAAAATCCCAAGTATGACCTCATCTCTAATTTGCCCTCTACTTTTTCATAAATGCAAATAACTAGCTTGGTATCATACACAGAGCCTCATATCTCTACTCAAACTCTCCCTGATTCACACAGCTCACAGCAACCAGACAATTTACCACATTGCTTCTCAGGGGAACAGTAACCTATGTCCTCAAATGATCAGTCCTCCAGCTTTCCTGCCCTTTTCAATTATGGACAAAATCCCCAGAATGTGTGTGAACTATAAATAGTTGTGACATAATTTTTCCACAACTCAGAAACCTGGGCCTCAAATCATTTGATAATATTTAGATGACTGGTGGGAAGTCAGCCTATCTGAGGATAGAGATTATGGAATGGATCAATTATTTTAAAATAGCCAAATAAATTTTACTATTCTTTATTTTTCATGATTCAATTAAACTCTTTATATCACTGAACAATTAAATGCTCGAAGTTCTGAAATGAGCGTAGAGATTTGCATTCTCATGCAAATAAGTCACCTTTACAAAAAATGTGTGTTTCAAAATTTAATAAGCTTTAGTAATTTATCCAGTCAACGCATTTTTATTGGTTTTTGGGTTCATTCTTATCATCACATGCTGAGGATACAAGGCAGTTTTTCCCAAACTATTATTCTTAGTCTATCAGACACTGGACAATGAGCATTTTTCCTTTGTTCACTTGAGATTGTATTGGGAACTTCTGCATAATCCTTATTTATGGGGTATTTTACTGTACAAATTTGGTCTGCTACTCTTGTATTCCCTTAATTTCCATCTTCAGATTAATTCAATAAATGGATGTGAATATGATCAAGAAAGTGGACTATAAAATGTTTCTACATACTGTTTACAGCACCAGATATCTTTCTTTCTCATATCACTTTTCCTAGAAAGTAAAAATGGTCTGATTTTGTATCCCAAAGCATGGGAACATAGAGAAAATAAATGCATGTCAAAATATGATAAAAGTGTAAGAAGGAACACAAAAAACTACAAAATATCATAAGACAAGTGAAAATGAAAACAGAACATACCAAAACTTACATGATGCAATGAAAGTAGTGCTAAGAGGGAAATTTACAGCTGTAAAAGCTTACATTAAAAAAACGAAGAAATGTCTGAAATCAACAACCTAACTTTACACCTTAAGAACTAAAAAAAGAAGAAACTAAACTCAAAGTTAGCAGAGGGAAGTAAATAATAAATACTAGAACAGAGATAAAGGAAATAGAGAACAGTAAAACAATGATAAAGATCAATGAAACTAAAAGTTAGTGTTTTGAAAAGAACAAAATTGACAAACCTTTAATGATATTAACTAAGAAAAACAGAACACTCAAATAACAAAAAATCAGAAATAGAAGAGGAGACGTTACCACTGAGACTAAGAAATACAAAGGATCATAAGAGATTACTATGAACAATTATACACCAATAAATTGAGACATACAACCTACCAAGACTAAATCATGAAGAAATAAAAAATCTAAAGAGATCAATAATGAGAATGGAGATTGAATCAATAATCAAAAAACTCTCAACAAAGAAAGCCCAGTAGTAGATGGCTTCACTGGAGAATTCTACCAAACATTTAACCAATTAACACTAATCCTTCTCAAACTCTTCCAAAAAACTGAAGGAGAGAGAACACTTCCAAATGCATTTTATGAGGTGAGCATTACCCTGATATCAAAACCAGACAAAAATACTACAAGAAAAGAAAATTGATGGAAAAATCCACAACAAAACACTAGCAAACCAAATTCAACAGCAGATGAAAAGAAGTTTACACCGTGACCCAGTGGGGCATACTCCTGGAATGCAAAAGTGTTTCAGCATACAAAAATCCATCAATATACCGCACTGACAAAATGAAAGGGAATAAACTATGTAATCATCTGAATTGATGCAGAAAAAGCATTTGACAAATTTCAGCACTCTTTTATGACAAAAACACTCAAGGAACTAGGAATAGAAGGAAATTGCCTGAACATAATAAAGACCATATATGAAAAACCCACAAGTAACCTTGTACTCTGTGACAAACTGAAACTTTTTCCACTAAGAATGGGAACAAGACAAGTATGCCACTCTTACCATGTCTTTTCAACATAGTGCTTGAACTAAAGATCAGAACAATTAGATAAGAAAAAAAAAATGATCCAAATTGGAAAAGAAGTAAATTTATCTCTATTTCTAGATGACATATATGTAGAAAACTGAAACGATTACACACACACACGCACACACACACACACACACACTGTTAGAACTAATGAATGAATTCAGCAAACTTTCAGGAGACAAAATAAACACACAAAACTCAATTGTGTTTCTGTACACTTACAATGAACAATCCCAAAAGGAAATTAAGAAAATAATTCTTTTCCGAAAGCATCAAAAGGAAAGAAATACTTAGGAATACACTTAACCAAAGAGACAACAAACTTTTATACTTAAAACTATCAAACACTGCTGAGAGAAATTAAAGAAGAGACAAATAAGTGGAATGACATCCTGTGTTCCAGCATTACACGTTAATGTTGTTAAAATGTTCATACTACCCAAAGTGATGTACAGATTCAAAGTAGCTTAAATTCATTTTTTTAGGTGGATCTTGACTGAAGTGGCAATTATCTGCCCTTGTCCTGCAATTTTTTGTGGACTCTTCACAAAAAGTAAGAAATGACCATTTGTTTCCTGTTGTCTCCATCCATTTCCACGGGATAGTGGACTCCATTTCAGTTTGATACCAAATGTGGTACCTAATAATTGGAACACTACATCAGGTCAAAAACCAAGAGTTTGGGGGGCCGGCCCCCGTGGCTGAGTGGTTAAGTTCGCGCACTCCGCTGCAGGTGGCCCAGTGTTTCGTTGGTTCGAATCCTGGGCGCGGACATGGCAACACTCATCAAGCCACGCTGAGGCGGCATCCCACATGCCACAACTAGAAGGATCCACAACTAAGAATATACAACTATGTACTGGGGGGCTTTGGGGAGAAAAAGGAAAAAATAAAATCTTTAAAAAAAAAAAAAACCAAGAGTTTGGATTATGAGTCTTTGGTCTGCTGGTTTGGCTTGCTCATGTCCTCACTCTTCTTTATACACTAACATGGCTATATTCTCTCTCTAGCTTCCAGGGATGTAGCTTTTAATGACCAGCCCTATTATCTCCTTAAATTCTTCCCTACAAGTCTATAAGATACCTGTGGGTAGAGAATTCATCTTACCTAACCTTGTTTCCTATGCATTTTGCCCAGTCCTTACCATCTCAGGAACTCAATCAATGTACATGAGCCTTGGTAATAATAGGAGAATGAATAACACCAACGTATAATAGATAGCGATGATTTGAGAGGACGATAGACCGAACAATATTTTGTAAATTCTTCATGGTTCTCCAAGAGAAGTTATAACTGAATATCGCGTGAAGTTGAAAACAAATTGGTGGCAGGTATATGTTCTTCAAGTTTGTATTATTAGTATTTAGAATATCAGGATGATTATCACTGGCCTGGTCACGATGGAAGGCTCACTCTCACTTTTATTCTAGTGATCCTCAAGAACCTGCAAGGAGTTACCTGATCATACTTTCCTTGTCTCCCTCAGGTGAGAAGGAAACAACTTGAACTTTACAACGTGTTCTGAGGCCTCATCTCCAAACTTGTGGCCATTTTCTGACTTTAGCCTATGCCTTTGGGAATCAACTTGAATGCTTCTTTTAAAGGATCAACGATACTGTGAACTCTATGTAGTGACATCTATGTCATTTCCCTGAATTTGAACTGTGGAATCAGACTTTGGGTCAGTTTTTTAAAATATATAAAGTGTGCGCAGTGAACACATTGGTTATTTTGTTCTCCTAAAAAGAGCATTAATACAAATAGTGTAAAAAATGAAGAGTGGCCTTTTCACTGAACTTGTCTGCTCTTTCATTAGTCACCTGATGGGAGTCTATTTCCCAATTTCTTTGCACTTAACACATTTCGTGAGAATATACGCAGGCCAACTAATGTGAGCAGAAGTGATATTGCCCTGTATGGTCCTGGCCCTTGAAGATATCTTGTGTGATCCACTTTACTTTTTCTCTCTACAACTGAGTGGAATAGATTCAAGCATCACAGACAGACTTGGAGTCACATGTTGAATATGGTAAAGTCACGAAATAGAGGGTATCAATGTTTCTGAATCACTGTTTGGAGAAGAGTCAACCAGAAGATTCTTCTGATCAGGAATGCCTGCATTGTGCTCTTATACAAAGGAAAAATAAATTTCTATTATGATCAAATTATGGATAGTTTTCTGTTTATCTGTTATAGCAGCTAACATTTACGTAAGTGATAGATGTCTTTAACAATATATTATCCTGAAGGAACGTTGCATACAAAATGGACTTTACATTTTAGAAACAACAAATGCCCTCAAAAAGCTTAAACAGATTTTTTTAAAAGGTCATAAAGTTATTTATTTAAGAAAGTAGATCATGTTCTTCTCTCTAAACATACTTTTGCAAATTCATGATGTACAATATATTTTTTTAAATACCTCCATGATTTTAGTTTCAGATATTTTTCAGCTGGTACAGAAATATGAGTTGAGATTATTTGGGGGGGTTCTTAGCAAACAATGTGAATGATTAGAGAGCGGATAAGTCTAATTTTCTCCTTTATTTGCCGACTTTTCTCTGAGTATTGCTACATGAGGGAGAGGCACACTTCCGTTTCCCCTCTGACAACCTCCCAGGCACAGGGGCTGAATGCCTTTTCCTTCAGATAGTGATTGATTTTTTGGAAGTAATTCCGGGCAACAGTTCCCAAATAGGGACAAGCCAGGTTTTCTTCTTCCAGCTGCTCCAGGCTGTGATGAAGCCTAGAGAGTAGTTGATCCAGGAGGGCGTTGTTCCAAGCAGCACGGCTGTCGTCTGTGTTGAAGAGGTTGATGATCTCCTGGAGCATCACATAGTGGAAACAGGTGCCCTGCGTCTTCCGGATTTGGGTGATAGTCTCGCTTTCCCAAGGAAATTTGAAGTAGGTTCCGTCGTTCAGGCATGACTTAGAGTGGATTTTTTCCAGCTGTCTCAACAGCATGAAGATCTCCCTGTTTTTTAGGCTATGGATCCAAGGCGAGTCCCTGCCAAGAGAGCAGGCAAGGATGGAGCAGAGCATCACTCCTGCCTCTAGCAAATGGACCCGGGCCATTGAGAATTCCGGTGATTCACTGCACGGCCGCCAGGGGGCGCGCAGGGCACCGCTGAACAACTAGCGCAGTTTCCTTCGCGGGCTCCCCGGAAAGCGGGATTCCCTGGGCGGCCGCTAGAGGGCGCGCAGGGGGCCTTTCCTGACGCCGGGCGCTCAGAGGCGCGGACTTGGTCGGTTTCAGTCGTTCGGGCCGCTGGAGGGGGTGTGCGTCGCAGCCTTGGGAGCCAACTTCGTGCCTCTTTAATAGTGCACGAGACACCTTCCTCTCCGCGGCCCTTCTGCTGCGCGGAGAGCTTGGCCGCGGCCTCGCCGGGGACGCGTTTCTCAGGGAGAGAGCACCGAACCCGGCATTTTCTGCACTTGCCCCTGAGTTTTGCGCTTTCCTTTCGCACAGAAACTTCGGCGAGGCCATTTTTACAAAGAAGCCGTTTCTTGAGGGTCTGAGGCCGGAATCCGAGCGTGTTGAGTGGTTTTTACAGATTCGGGAGCGTTTGTGGGCGAGATGCGGCGACAGATGCGGAGAAAGGGGACGGCGGGGACGTGGGCCGCGAGCGGACGGTGTTGGGGACCCGCGGGGGTGAGTCGGGCGCGGCGCCCCTGGGTCCGAGGCGGGGAAGGTGCCCCCCACGTGCTCGGGGACTTTCCTGGTGACTTTCCAGCGTGACAGCGGGAAGGTGGAGGAGGACAGTACTGAGAAACTGAAAACCTGGAATATTGAAACTGCTTTTTATTAAGCAGCTTTTGATATTAAAATATTTTAATATTAACTATAAATATCAAACGTGAAATTTTCAACGTTGACCTTGACAGCATGTATTAAACTTTTTATGAAATATTTTATAATTAAATATCAAAAAAATTTTAAAAATATTGTTAACATTAAAACTGTTAAAAACAGCGTTTTATTCAACTTCACCTAAGTTTATTTAAACTATAATTTATTTTACCAAAACAACAATTTAATATAATTTTGCTTTCCTCGCTTTAATGGAAGTAAACTGAATAATATTTTTTCAAGATTACTTCTTTACTTTTTTTAAATTGAGAATTGCCATGTTTGACACTTTCTCCTGATTCCGTGAGAATCTTAAATAATTTTTATTTAACTTCACGTTGCTCAAACGACTTTCACAGGACTCCGCCTTCACTGTGTTGTTCAAAGGAAGTTAGTGCTGTGTACAGGCCGTGGAGGACATTGAACAGGTCAGATCTTCAATTTTCTTTGGTATAAATTTTATAGACTGAATGGAATTTGCCTAAATTTCCTTTGCATGGGGCCCCCTTCCTTTGTAAGACTCTCCCAGCCTTGCCAGTGCAGGGTTCTTTCTTGTCTGTATTTAAAATTTTGATATTTTGTTCATCATGGGTGTTTTGGCATTAGTTTTCATTTTTAATCTTGTGTTAAAATATTATTTATCTTGAGTACTTAGATTTGGTGTCTCCTTAACTTCCATGCTTGCGGGAAGTACTCCCTCACTTTAGCTGAGTGCTAACCCAGGAAACAGCTTGTGAATTAGTGTTGTGAGCTTCCCTGGCTGGAAACCTAGCAATGTCCCATTCTTGTCACTCTCTCCCCCATATTTCTTTTAACCACGTTCCTGGACTCTGCAACTTTTTTTTTAACCGGTCCCTTAAGAAATATTGCCAGAGGTGGTCTGAAAGGAGCTGAGGCTGAGGGAGGGGACTATTTGGCTCATTTCTACTGGTCGCAGAGCAGCCACGTGGGCTCAGACGACTCTCCTCCGGGCTGGTTCTCTGCGGAGAGCCTCAGGCGCACCGTCAGTTTCTCTCCTTCAAGTGTCAGGCGCAGATCCGACTGCATGTATTAAACGATCACTTCTTTTCTGGGAAGCCCCACACTTTAACACATTGATGTTCTTTTACTGTCTCAGACCTTACTGATTACTAATTCTCTATGTTTTCATTAATTTGTCTTCCACTTCCAAACTTGTAGATGCATTGACCAAATTTTGATTATTTTATGTAATAAGCAAAATGAAATTATCAATTGGCAATTATTTCTGAGAACTTAGAATGAGATCAACAAAATTAATAATTCTAACAATAATTATAGAATAACCTCATTTAATATATAAGGTGGTTCATACAGATTGCCAATATTAATTCTCACCATAAATTTATGAGATGCATGGGAGACAAGACGGGTGAGAGTTATGGCCCCTGCACCAGAGAGTGAATTACAAACATTTCAGTGACTCCTCTGTTGAAAATACTGAGCTAGTGGCACTTGTGGATTAAAAGGAACAAATACTTATGCTCTCAATTTACATGAAAATGGGAAATGACTGGAAAAATATAAGACGACATATACCAACTGCTAAAATGTGAGGGATGGAGCAGAGCATCGCCATTGCCATCAGCAGAGAAACCTGGGAGTCCAGAATCTCAGCACTTCGCCTGTACCACAGTGACACTGAGCGCGCGGCCACCGCTCAACAGCGCGCGCAAACCCCCGTCGCTGCCCCCAGCGGCCGGCAGGGGGCGCCCGCACTCGCCGTGACCGACCCTCCGGCGCCGCCCGCCCAGCGGGACCCGCCTGGGGCTCCGGCCGCGGACACCGGGAGACCCGGCGCGTCGCCGTCCGCGGGAGCCCGGCCCGGGCGAGGCGCCGCGGGGCTCAGGGACCGCGCGGGGCGGGACAACGCGGAGCAAACGCTTCCTTTCGGCCCGACGCGGCGGGGAGCTCCGCCGGGGCCCCGCCAGAGCCTTCCGCTGCCTGCGCCTGCCCGCGTCCATCCTTCCCTTTCTCCTGGAAGGTCGGGGCCACACCGTTTCCAAGAGCGCGCGCTCATTCGGGGACCGGCGGCTCGAGGTCAGAGCGTGCTGTGGGCTGTTTCCAGGCTCAGGAGGCTTTCTGGGGAGAAAGACACGAATTCGGGGAAACGGAGACGCAGCTACAATCTGGACAGTAGGGACGGAATATTGCGACCCCCTCCAGTGGAATGACTTGGGGACAGGGCTGAGACTTTAAAGGAGCCCCGGGAGAAAGGGAGAATGTGCGCCTATATTTACGTGATTTTGAAACTGAGGATGAAGGAATTAAAATTTTCCTGGCTTAGGGTGAAACTGTGCCTTGTACTCACAAGGTTAATATTGGAAACAAAATAACTCAAGTTTCTGAGCTTGCCCTGCAGGACAGCAGGCGGACCTCTGATAAGGTAGGAACTTGCTGACAGCCCCTTGCCTGATTAAGCAGCTTAAGCATCTAAAATGACTGATGGTGAAGTTTAGATGTCAAAGACTACAAATCCACAGCACGCAACACATAGAACAGTCATGCCCGTGCTGAGGATTCTTTAGAACTTCAGCCCTCCAAGGCTACATGCTCCCCCTTCTCTACCTAAAACTCCAGATAAACACCCTTGCTTATAGCTTTCCAGGGAGTTCGGGATTACAGCTTTAGCTGACTGTTCCCCTTGCTCAGAGCTTTGCAGTACAACTCCTTTCTTCCCCTACACCTGGTGTCAGACGGGCTTGCTGCACCACGGGTGAGTGAACGCACTTCAGGTTCGATGTCAATTTCATTCCATTTTAATGGTTAATTTCTCCTACAATGTTAAAGTGGTCGAAAAAATATTTTAAAATTTAAAAGTATTAAAGCACATTGTTTAAGTATTTTATTTATGCAAAAACCAGGCTTTATTATAACTTCCTGGCTTTAATGGAAACAAACTCATCAGTAATGTTTTCAAAATTACTTCTCTACTTATCTCATTTTCAGTGGAGAGAATTGTCATGTTTGGCAGTATCTTATGATCCAGTAACTATCTTAAATAATTAATTTCAACTTACAAAATCTTTTTTTCCCTCTCATTTGTTTTAAGCATGAGTCCTCTATTAAGCATTCTGCTTTATATATAGCCATGGCTTTTCATTGGATGGTTTTAACTTTTTTCAAAATGTCATCCCAAATGAATAAGTTGCAAAAAATTTATAATCTATTTGCATCAAAATTCTTTCCATTTCAGCGTAATGTAGGTTTGCACTTAACATATCATTTACTACTTAACGTCTTATTGCCAAATGCACTCACTGCATTTTCTATTCATGCCCACTAGATATCCTTAGGTGTTTTTAATGTACTGTTTAGTGCAGAGATGAGGATGTTACATTTGCTAGTTGCATTAAAAAATTTGTGTATATCCTATGTACAGTACTAATAAAGGTGATCCTAATTCACAGAGGTAGAAATTTTGCATAATAAAATTATTAGCTGAGTAAGGCACAAATGTATAATCATATTTTTGGAAGCATAAAATAATGGCTTTTACACCTTTGTGTGCACTTGTCAGTGTATATATATATGTTACCAGTACACAGTAACAACTATCATAACTATGTTTAATATGCCCCTGATGCTTTATATAATTTACTCAATTATGGTAACAACTTTATGTGTTATATAGAGACTATATAGAGTTATATAGAGACTATAACATGAAATGGAATACTGAATGGAATATGGTATTCTCATTATCCCCATTTTAACGCTGTAAAAGTACAATAGAAAAAATGAAACAATTGCACTAGTCATGCAGCAAGTTGAAGGAAAAAAGGAGAGGCCCAGTTAACATTTTTACAGGTCACCTGAGAAGGGAAGAGTAACCCACGAGAGAAAATAAAATCCAAGACAGTAGTTTTCAAAGAGCTTTACCGGCACAACTATTTTAAGCTTATTATATTTATCACTTTTAACAACCCTGAAGACCTACAATATTCCTCACATCATGCAGGATACTTAGTGGGATAAGAAATGAAGAAGTGCTCCTGCTCTGGGGAGTCAACTAATGACAAGCATTTATTTGACTCTCAATTATAAAGCCCTGGTGAGTGTGTGTGTGTTGGGGGTGGGGGGTGAATAAAATTAGAGGGCAGGAGTTTGCCCTTGAAAGTATAGGACCATAGGAAATTATTGGAATAATACAAGTTAAAATATATTCAATGAAATATATGATGATTGGTAGGAATTTCTGTTATCAGTTTTAGTGAATTAACCCTGGCTCGTTAGTGCAGGAGCTGGATAGACCTCAATAACCATGTGTTGTGTCAGTACTCTGACATGTTGATTGTTGAGTCTCTCTTAGAATATCACACACTTTGAGGACAGGGAACACACCTTATCTCCAGTAATTAACCCCATGCTCAAATCTCAGCCAGACCTTAATCCACGGTCGTGAATAAGTGCTGGGCTGGGTACAAATGAGATGCTTTGACATATTTCAGATAGTCAAATATCGAGATTTTGGCTTATAAGTACATATTGACATTTCACTTACTGTGTTTGATTTCCAAAATATTTGAGTGGGATCTATATAAGCATCTTGATAGGCAAGGGAGACAGAGGAATGTAGGCTGGATTTAAAGGTAAGATTTACATAGATAAATAACCTGAAAACGCCTGTAGAGGAAAGTGTTTTCACAATAATTAGGGGCCTTTCTGCTCTTTCCTGGGGTCACTTGCAGCATGTAACGTTTAGAATTAACAGGCAAATTCTTCAGGCAAGAATCTTAAAAAAGTGGTAATTAGGCACTTTATCAGAAAACACCAGCAAATATGTCAACATTATTTTTAACAGGTCATGGTGAAAAGTGAAAAGTCATCTACCTTCTTTTTTGAGAATAATAAAATCTAGATTCAAGTATTTTAAAAGGATTAAATAAGAAAAGAAACTCAGATTTTAAAAAAACTATAGATGCATAACAGGTAAAATATCAGTAAAATAAATCAGAAGGCATGTTAATAATTAGTGAATCATAATAAAATAGAGTTGGTCTGATAATCCAAGGATGCTTACACCATAGCTATAATACAATTAAGTAGATTTTAGAAGTCTTGAGTTCAAACTATGGAGCTTTCCCATATTCCTGGGTGAAAACCATCAATGGTGTTAAACCTCAATTACACAGACAGGACACCTGATGAGAGAGCAGTTGAGAATGATTTCAGGAATTTTAACCTGAGAACCTAGAGGTATGGAGTTGCCAGTAACTGAAGGGGAAACAGTAAGAAAAGAGGGTGATTGTGTTTGTTTTTATTTGGGTTTTGTTTTCTCCAAAAGGAGATTTCCATTTTCAATAACCTAAATTTAAGATGCTTATTAGACACCAACTGTCAAATAGGCATTTGGACAGATGCCTCCAGAATTTACTTTTGGAGCACCTCAGCATCGAGGTTGTTTTTAAAGCCCTGAAAACTAGATTAGGTTGGGATCTAGTTCATGAGCTTAAACTGAAAAGAATTCTAGGCACTGAACACAGGAAAACCACTAATTTAGATGTTTCAAGGGAAGCTAGAATGGGCAGCCAGAGAGGCGAGAGGAACATAGTGTTAGTGTGGATCTGGGATCTAAATGAAGACCCTGCAGACTGTGTGTGTGTGTCTGCTGTATAAAACAAAGTGTTTGCATAAAAAAATGAATAACGAATTTCTGTAAATAAGTAAGAAAAGGACAATGCAAAAGCCATGGGTGTATTTCTATGGATAGGAAATTCACAGATGAAACATGAATTTCCAGTGAATATGGGAAAAAGTTCTGAGCTATAATAGTGTGCTAGTCCTGAAGCGAACGTCCCACCTCCAAATTCTGGGGCTGAATTCCTTCAACTACGTTTCTTCTTTGCCAGCAGACTTTTTTTCATTTTAAGTTCTTCCATACCTATTACAGGAGATGGATGAGAAGGCTGGAGTAAATTTTCTGTTTTGGAGACTGGTTGTGACTGATAACAATTACCACCAATTAGGAGAAAGACAGCTAATGGTGCTACTAGATGCTACTTGTCACCTATCATATTGGCAAAAACTAAAAAGAATGATAAGATCCTGTGTTGGTCAATGTGTGGGGACATATATGAACGTATACACTCTTGAAAGCAGATTAACACAGCCAGTTTTCTCGTGGACAATTGGCAGTACGTATTTTCAGTGTGTATGTATTTTGACCAATAAATTTTACTTCCTGGCTCCTTCTTTAGAGAAAGACTCTCACTTGAGTATAAGACACTTGCACCAACATGCTGTTTAAACTTGAAAACAACTAAGAAATTGCCAAATAGTCGATATGGGCAAGGGTTAGGGAAAGAGAAAGGGAAACAGCTAGAAACAGAGAGAGTGTAGGGGATCCTTGCTGTGGGGTCCCCCTTCTAATTTGGGACAAATCTCTTAGTACTCCTCTTTGCGTGCACATCTTGTCTGATTGCCTTAGCCTATGTGTGTTTCTGGAGAAAAGTATTGATCTTGGAGGCAGATAATGACTTGTCATGTGACCCACAGCCAGTCACTCAGCACTTTAAGCAACCACCTCTCCTTGGATGAGTGGTCTTTGGCCAAGGGCACATGAGGAAGGTCAGTGTCCTGACGGTCACTTCCTCTGAGTTTTCTAGTCCTGGATTTCTGCCTATTTAGTTACTTGTCCTCTGTAACTTCAAGTTGAGAGACTCAAGTGAAAAGATGAATGTACAGCTAATTTATTAATTTCATAATGAAAAGCAGACATTACTCTTCCCAGGCTTCAATTGCTGTGTGAGTGTGAACCTCTCAGTAGGAGATGAAGGTTGCTTCTGCAGGCCCTGGATGTGGAAGCTAGGAAAGGGTAAAGAAACTGGAGTGGAGCCAAGATGACATTAACCCTGACCTCTTCTTTCCTCCAGGTGGAAATGGTACAACAGGTGGCCCCAGTGGCTCTTTTCTCCACTTAATTTTGCGATGACTCTCCTCCTTTTTGGTGACTCCATTTTATGGCTCTTCCTTTTTCAGCAGTCACTCCACTCAGCCCTTTAACAGTGTTGACCCAGACCCCGTGGATGCAGAGGAATACGGAGAATAATGTAGAGTACTTGGCCATGCTGATGGCAGTGGGCTGAGTAGTGATCCAAGGTGAGCCCAGAAAAACTACTCTTGTCAAAAATTGCAAGGACCTACTTCTGTTGCATGAGTGTGTACCTCCATGAAGGAGATATCCCATGGTTCTACCAAGCACACAAAATCCACAGAAGGCTCCACAACACTGAGAGGCCAGCTGTGCACCAAGGACAAGATCCTGCAGATCCTTCATGAAGTCTAAACAATGACTGTATGGAGGGCACTTACTCCAAAAGGGATTTTCCAGGCCTGGAATCATCCCTGCAGACTTTGTCCCTATGCTCAAAAACAAGCCCCACCTCTCTACTCCTGATGAGATGGCACCACGTGTTCTATTCTACACTGTAGTTGGGAGGAACCTAGATCAGGTTGTGTGCATGTATGTTTAGCTGGGAAGTGGGAGTTGTCTTGATTAGGAACAAGGGAAATACTCCCGTTACTTCCCACTAGCTGGATTATTTTTCCCCATCTTCAATGGCTCTCCATCTTTCCTACACATTCACCCTCCAAATTTTTCCTCACTATTTGCCTCTCTTTTCTGCAGGCGCTATGTGACTGCCCAGGGAACCATCCTGTCATTGAAGGCTGCATGATCCCTTTGTCCCCAATGGTGTCTTCAAGCCAGGCACCATGTAGATTCTCCATAGGGAGTGCATTCTCTTTCCTAAGGTACCCACCCAGTGGGAAGAATTCATTGTTGGATTCAAATTGTATTTCAAGGCAGATGAACACTAAAGACAGGGAAGTCCCTTTAGTAGCACTTACCTTGTTTCTTGACCTTGCCACGTCCCTCTGATAATACACCCCACTATATCTTCCCAATCACCCTCCATTTTAAAGCTCACTCAGCTCTGTCCACTAGATGGTAGTAATTTTTTTACCATTTAAAAAGTCATTGTTTTCTGAACAATGATTCTTTCTTATCCCTGAACGTTTTTAGAGCTGAGCTGTCTCGAACAAGGTGACCCAGGCCATGGGTCCATTTCCATGTCCTTAGCTTGGACTCCAACTCTCTTCCAGGGGCTGAAAGGGAACTCTCTTCCAGAAGCTGGAGAGGGTAGAGATTTCTTTCCCAAGCCTGATAGACTGTGTTCTTTCCCATGCCAGATTTGCTAAGACCTTACAACTGCTCTGCCATCCATTTGGCCTCCTCCTGGCCCTGCCTGTCGAACCACAGACACAGCCAGAAGTCCTGCATCCCTGCCACTCCAGAGCCTGCCACACACGGAAAGGAATGGGGAAAAGTGGCCAATTGTACACTTTCATTTAGGCTAAGCTAAGAATTGGGAAATGGAACTGATCTCCCCATCCTTAGAGGGCCTTGGAGTGAGATGGAAGGTGTTATCCACCCAAATATTTGGAGTCATGGGGTCTTCTCCTTTCCCTTCTGAACTCAGGGCCTCAGGACTGCCAAATTCCAGTTCCGTTTTTGGGATGTGTGAAGTTTCTTGTCTCTTTGTGTTCCTAGAGGCCGAGTGGGACACTTTTGGCCCTGCATGCCTGCGTAACCCCAAGCATTCCACCCCTCAGCTGTTTACAGTTCAGTATCGTGGTAGAGCGGGGCAAGGACCGAGAAGTCCAGTTCCTGAGGCTTTTTCGTTAATGGATTTTCTCATTTTTTTAAGCCCCTCGACATTTGTCAAGTTATTATGCTTTTGTATTTGTTTTTTTGGAGAGCTGTATTCAGATGACAAGTAAGAAAGCTGAGATGGCAGTGGGTGTGCGGTGCCACAGTCAGACTCTCTCCCTAACCTTCCTCAGCTTCAGAAACTCGAAGTGAGCTCTCAGGAAGAGCTGGAGCTGACCTCCTCTTCTCTCTAAGCGCCAGTGTCTGGATTCTCTAACCTTCTCCTAAATGCAGCAGAGACAAAAGAAAACACTCTCTTTTTAGAAGAAACAGATATATTTGGGAAGGGTGAATTTTGTGGTTCTTAAGAAACAGAGACCGTCCTTTTCAGAGGATGCATAATGTGAGAAACCATGAATTTTCTCTAATTTTATAGAAATATTTCTTTGAGAGAAATTTTCTCGGGAGTAGGGCATGGATGTCTTTCTAACTGACTTGAGGAAATGCATTCCTCAGAGACGGAGCCCGGGGCAGCTGTGAAGATGGTCCGATGGACCTGCCATCCGTGGTCCAGACTGCCGTGGCCTGGCTGGGGACACAGGCTCCCTAGGGAGCAGGAAAGTGGGATGTTTCTTGTCCCTCCCTCTTTTAGGTACCTGAAAACACTGAAAGAAATGCCTCGTCTCTTTGCAATGTGACTCCCAGTGGCGCCTCTGGCAAGAACTGGGGCTTCTTGTGCCCAGGAGCCTCCACTCGTCACCTGTCCTGAGCAGGGGCCTCTTCTCTGTGAGGTGGGTGGTCTCCATTCATCTTCTCCTGCTTAGGGTCTCCTACAGTCCTCTCTCTCTTTTGTTGTTGATGGAGTTCGGTCCTGTTTGCTATCCTCCCCAGTCAAGGGCCGCCTGCAAGCCTATGAGCAGAATGAGAGGGGGCCCCTCTCTTGGCCATCTGGCCTTCTTTTTCCCACAGGTAAGGGTGGAATTAAAGAGTTCTCCAGGCCAGGAGCTGAATCTTTTGTGGTGGCCTCTTCTCCATGACCTGCTTGAGGGTTTTCTCCAAGATGCGTGGCAGGCACAGCTCGAGCGTAAGCTCTTGAAACTTGGGTAGATGAGGAAGAAGAAGTGGACTGGGAAGAGGTCAGCATTGGGTCTTCTTCACGTTAGAGTGTTTTATAGTCAGGGACCTCAAAGAATGGGCCCCACCCCTGATGCATCCCAAACTGCCTAACATGGACTTCTGAAATCTGTCAAAGACCTGCATGGAGGAAAGAAAGCCTGCCAGAGGAATTCTGGTAATATTACTGATGCAATAAGGGAGCCACATTTCTGTTTTGTGCCTGGATGTGGGGCTTCCCAGGACGGAGGAGTGGACATCATTCCTTACAGTATTGATCTTCCCCATTTTCTTGCCCAAGTGTATGACCGGGGTAGACACCCAGAATCCTTCTAGTCTGTCTTCTGCCCTAGGCCTCTTGATTATTCATCCTGTGAGTGACTCACCACACCACATTTTGTCTCTTTCTCAGAGCTACCCCACAGAAAGCTATCCTCATAAGGGAGCTTATGCAGGTGCCTGTAGAAGACAGGAGGTAAAAAGGGTGGGGGGAACTTCCTGGCCAGGCAGGCCCTGGAAGATCACATTCCTCCTGTCACTGACTTTATGGGACTCCTTTCTCCCTCACCCATGGCTTCCTTTCCTATTTATTTCCCTGTGGTACTTCCTGTGTCAACCTCATGCTGTGCTGGAACCCCAGAAATCAATAGGGAAGACAGCAAGGGGGATGCCTGAAATAATGGAAGAGATGAACCACCTTTTCTGAAGAGAAAGTAGTTCTGGTGCCACATTAGCACCTTTTAGGAGGGCTCTCTAAACTGGGCCAATTGGAGCCTGGGTGTGTCAAGTGAAAGTGGGAGCAAAGAGAGTATGTAGGAGGCTAAGTGGAATGTTCCATTGGGAATAGATTCTTTCAAGATTCATGCCAAGGAATTTTAGGATTCAAGGTCAGAGGTTCAATGACAAGAATAGTAAGCTCCACTTATGTATAGGGCTATGTCATTTTAAAGGGCTTTCACAGACATTGTCCCAAGCAGTTGTCCAACACCCCCATGAGTTTGTGGGCCAGGTGCTCCATCAGAGAGTCTGAACCTTGGAGAAGTTAACTTGTCTGAAGGCATTGCCCAAAATATTTGCCCCCCAAACAATCATTCTTCCACTGCATCTCACACTGGCACTGAATGGGTGAGCCCCACGATGCAGCTTTCACATGGGGGAGCAGAGCAGGGTGAGGAGAAGTGTCTTGGGTTCCAATTTCTTTGCTTTCCTGCTATAAGTCTCTCCTCTGGGGGCATTATTTTCCAAAAAGGACTGGCTCTAGGAAGGGACATTGTGAGCACTTATGGACCTGGGACTTTATGGGAAAGAGATGTAAGATTACACCTGCGAGAGCCTGGTATTGAGTAGCAGAACTTTACCTTGTAAAGCTCCTGCTTTTTTCCTTCCTGCGTCTGATGTGCTGCTGAAAGACCAAAACGTAATGAGTTCAGAAGGTCTTCTTTGCCCTTCCCATTCTAAAGAAGCAACGAACATTATTAATGAATAATGTGTGTGACTTTCTACATTAATCGAGGTCTCTATTATTTCCATGTTATTCATCTATGAAATAGATCAAAATATTTCTACTGATCCTCCTTTGTCACTCAAATAAAGAAGTGTTTTGTGCATGTGGTTCTTTATTGATATTTCAGACAGTGGTCCTCTACTGAAACGGGGCACAGACTCTCAGATCTTCAGTGACACGTATGCTCCATCCTAAAGGATTCTGCTTCCTGAGAACAAATTGAGTCCCATCTGATCGGAGTGTGTCAGAGGCTCAGCACTGCTTTCCATGCATCAGATCTGACACAAGAAGAGGCTTGGCCAGAGCGCCCTGAGATGGGAAAACGGCAGATGAGCACTCTTGGGGGACTTTTCCCCTGGGTGGTCTGAGCTCTCTTAATAAGCAGTTCCATGGTCCTGAACCAAGATTTGGGGGATTTTATGTATCATTATTATTCTTATTTATACCTATGTGTATGGCCTGTGATATGGATAGAAGCCCTAGTCTCCACTCTGCCCTGTACCCTGCCCTACCAGTTCTCATAGATTGATGATCTAATCTTCCCTGAGAGTTCCCATTCCTGAGGTCTGGCCATTCTAACAATTGGTTTAGAATAGTGGGAATAGGAAAGGAAAAGCCCGATTCAATCTCTTTTCTAGGCGGGACCCTGGCTTCCCTTACCTGATTGTTGTCTGTGTTTTTTTTGAAACATTGGTAAATCTGGACACCACTGAGTGCAGTAACATGACAAAGATTATGCCAACTGTATTCAAATAAAGAGAATGGTGGTGGGTAGAACCTGAGCCCCAGGGTTTAGTAAAATGCGGATGAAACAAGGTGATGTTCTCCGTCTACTGCACACTGCTGCCCAAGGCAACTGAGCACAGAGATAATAGACTCTAACCGAATCCCAGGCACATATCCCAGTTAGGGGACAGTCACAAAGGGTTCTTGAGTTGGGGGAAGGGGACAAAAACATGTGTACCTGAGGCCCCTCCTCACCATCCAGCCTAGTAGATGCTACCAGTCTTCGTGGTCACTGGATTGCATTTACTTATCCTCCCTGCTTTCCAACAGCAACCTGTGAGTGGATCATATATGTGTGTGTAGTGTATATAATGTGCATATGCACACTAAGGTACATGTGGTATACATAAAGTACAGGTACGTGTGTGCACATGCGTGCCATGCCATTTCTTGTAGGTAGAAAGTAGCAAGGACATCAAAGGAGAGAAGGATATTTATATTGCTTTAGTGCATTTTCTCTTTACTCCATTTTTACCCCAGATAGTAGCTGGAGTTTCCATTTTCTCCTTAGAGAAATAGGCTCGGATGCCACCACATCCTCAGCTTTTGGAGGTCCAAAAGTCTCCCAACAATTTTTTCTAAATCCCAAGAACACTTTTAGAAGTATAATACAGATTGCAAATATCGTTGGTATTCAGCACAGGGAGTTTTCATACACTGAAGACACTGTGAAACTAGCACCCACGTTAAAAAAGAAACAGAAGAAGAAGAAGATTTTTCCCAGGATCTAGCGCCACCCAAGTGCTGCCTCCCGGTCACCACCTGAGACCAGCTCTCCCAGCTGTTCTCTGAGCGTGACCGTTCTGGGACTTCTAACAGTCCTGCTTATTTTTTCCAGGCACACTTTTATACCTTTTGTGTGTATTTACTCATTTAATCCTGACAATAATCCTATGAAAACATACTATTATTGTCCCTATATTAAACATGAGGAAACTAAGGATTCTAGTGTTTATATTATTTGTCAAGGACACACTGCTCTTAAATAGAAGAGCTGGGATCAAGCACAGGAACTCGGGCTGCAGGATCACATTCTTTAACCAACAAGCCATGCTGTGAAAAATATCATGGCAACCTGGAAAACAGTCCAATTCAACACAATTCAATGTGTCTCACAATAACCACCATGCTCCACATATCGCTTTTCAGAGGGTTTCACACATGTTTCTAGAGTTCATATTTTCTAAATTGTGTCCCAGAAGGCTGTGGGGAGACCTGCGGCTCAGAGAAGAGAAGGGACTTGCCCAAAGGCCACAGCTGGTAAGAAACAGAGTCAGATTTGAGCACAGGATAGACTAGGAACCATGCTGTTTTCTCCTCTTCACAGGACAGGAGGAACCTGAGGCCAAGGAGGGTTCAAAGAGTTACACAGTAGTCTCCTATCTCCAGCAGGCCTGTCTCAGCACTCTGCACACTGGTGGTGCTAAACTTATATGAATCCAAGTCGTCCATGTTTCTGGACTTCGTGTTTACATGCTACTCGAACTCTCAGACTCCTGTGGGGAAACTGAGGTCTGAGCTGCCCTTGTGTTGGTGACAGATGTATTTAGGACCTAGGTTCTAGATGAATGAGAAGAGAATTGTGGGAGAAGTGAGGCACAGGGTGAACAAGAGTGTCCAATAGGAGTGTCTCTGTATCAGGTCGAAATGATATAACCCAATGTATACAGAGTACTCAGGTTTATAGAGATATAGACTTCACCAACCCACTGAGCTTTACAGTATTTCATCTTCTGTCCCTAGTGATGGTTAATTTCATGTGTCAACTTG